TCACTGGTGATGAAACGTCTCTTGTCTGTGTAAATCAACAGCTTGAAGAAGCCACGTTTAATCCTAACGACTGCATTGTAAACGAGAGTTGTAGTGGGGTTAATTTCATGGCTTCGCGATAAGGCACTGTACAATTGCATACACTATCCTGCCCCTCATATGTTGTCCATAGAACGCAACATGGTACGAACCGACCATTCATCAGCGGATCACAGTAAAAGATTGAAGACATAAACTGGCCTCTTGCCTTTCAGTGGATCATAAGTGCAGCCAATCAACGCGCTGAATCAGACCGCGACCACACTCGCCTACGCACACCACATGGATAACAGCGACCCGGGTGGAACGGGATGCGCAAGCAGGAATAGACGAAGTTTTCGACAGGACACAAAACTGGCGTCATCGCTTTGATAGCTAATCTCCTATTTTATTTGAACAACTGACATATCTCCACTATCTGAGGGGTATAATTTAGGTAGTCTGCCTGGACATCCATATGACAAACTCCAAACCTGTACTGAAGAAATGTCTTTTCTAAATTGATTTCCGTTCCAGCAACTAATACATATTGGCTGAAAGGCTCGAGCACCGCGTGAAGCTGTGTTGAAGAGTTAATCAGAATGAGAGATTCATCAGCATAAGATAGGATGAGTCATGTGGTTGAGTTGAGCTGAATACCCAGATAATTTTGTACGGGATTATCCACTGTTCAGTTCTTCGAGAAACTGAATAACATTACCAACAGTGAACAACGTTGCTGTTGCTCTGTAGAGCCACATCGGGAATTCATGTGCGCCAAACATAAATGCAGATTCAAGCTTTTGTTCCTAAGTGACAGGCTTTCAAAGAAAGTCAGCTATCTACACCTACCATTGCATTTAAGAATGGTCGACATATCTCTCTGAACAGAGCCAAAAACAGCGCTCTAAAATTAGTTTTTGTTGCTGGAACTTGAGGGAGATTCCGAAAGAGTGCATTGGTGGATACATGGTCAACACAACCGCAGCTAGGGCGAATTACTCGTTCCTCTCGGATGGAATAGGAGTAAATCGGTAAATGGCCTCAACGTGATATTTATCAGACAGGTTTAAAAATGACTACCACTTATTATCTTGTTGTCTTTCCTGGGTATGGAAAATAGTACTGAATTGTCTCATTCGTCCGGAATGGTTTCACTATTCTATAACAAGCAGGGCGATTTTTGAAGACGTTCGACTGTTGTCTTCACGAGATCAGTCGAAACTCAAAAGTCACCGTTTTATTTTTGAGTGGAATGAATATTTCTGGCATTTGCCCGGAGATTAATAATTTTTGGCCCACGATTTCAGCGGTTTTTGACCGGACTATGTGTTCGATGCGTACAGCGATGGCTCAACAGAGTCCTGAAACGCTATATCTATTTCTCTGGCTCCTCGTGCTTGTCAGTTCACTATAAGTGTTGCAAAACATAGATTGTTGAACACGGTCTTAGCCTGAAGCCCGACAGATCGAACGAAAGAAGTTCGAGAAGTTGCCAGGATGTGAAACTTCATTTATATCAGAGGTAGGTTGTTGACAGTATCTCCAATGCTTTCTTCTTGTATAGCCAGTAGCCTGGCGTAGTAAACTGCAGACGTTGGGTGTGGTAGAGGCACATTTGGTTCGGGTAGTTTAACCATTTGGGAAAAAATGTAATTTCAACATGAGCAAATATGCCTTAACCTCACAGAAACGGCATACTGTATTGGCGTTTTTTGGCCAATCTAATGTTTCCACTAAACTGTCTTCGGACTTGAACAGATGAACACCGGATGATGAGAATTCGTTTTTACCCTCCTGCCAGACTTGAAACCAATTTCATGGGTCAAGGAGTTAAATGAATTTTCATCTTTGCAAGTAAGAGTGTGGTTTGATCATTGCTGTTTACCGTCTCTGTTCTAGGATAAAAGCTAGGAAAGAAAAGAAAGCGTTCAGCTGTAGCACCCTTCCGGTGCCTAGCTGCCATGCCACCCGAAGGAAGCACGAGGGCTGGGATACTGCCAGGTTGCCCAAGCCTAGACAGGGGAAGTCGAGTGGCGGAGGTCGGATTCGAACCGCGAGCACGAGGGCTGGGATACTGCCAGGTTGCCCAAGCCTAGACAGGGGAAGTCGAGTGGCGGAGATCGGATTCGAACCACGGGCCTTCCGGTCAGTAAATTCGCGCTCTAACCACTTGGGCCATCTCGCCCCGCTAGGAGTAATGTGTGGAACGTTGGGATACAGCCGTGTAAGTTTATGTCATCCCTGATGTCTGGAATGGGTGCTGGCTGCGACAAAATGAACCCCACACACACGAACATGAATCGGAGATTACTGTTTCAACAGAAATGTTCGGGGCCAAAATGTTTAAAATTAGGGCAGGTAATGCTATCGCTAGCATTGGTTTCCGCTTTCTCGTCGCTAGCTATTAAAAGAAAGCCGTGGTCAATTAGTCACTCGTTGAATTCACCTGTGGAATCGATCTTGGACAGAAATATCAGAAAATAACGTGGTCTGAATGACTGTTTCAGTCAGACGGAGGAAGGACCTGTTGGATCCGTTCCGGAGCAATAAGCATTGCATTGCCATGGCTACTCAAGACACATGTCGCTTCCTGAAGGGCAAAATCATCGGTTAGTCCACCCTGGTAGGTCCAATAGGATGCTTTTATTCCTCTGGAATTCTGATGCTTCGTGTGACGAATCCCACGAGAAATCCTCAGGAAGACAAGTGATACTGACTTAATAGTCATAAGGACTTCGCACTGTGATGAATTAGCTTCCGGTATCCAACAATGTGCAACATTTTTATATCTGTTGCGTACGACAAATCTGAACCTAGGGTAAAAAACTGCTTAACTTTTGTACTGGCTGCTGGGCCATCTCACAGATCATGGCGTACCATGGACGTCGTATTATGAACCGAAGTGCAACTGGACATGTGAGGCACAAAATTATCAATGGACCAATGGGATAGCTTCCCTATTGCCATGCAGTTCCCGTTAAAAAATTAACTCCCGAACTTTTCGCTCGCCCCGCATGTCAGATGTCCGGGGTTCAGATCCCGGCACGGCCATTGGATATGCACTACTGATGAGCTCTAATAAGAGCGAAACTCGAGTCCAGTGCTTCCTTTGGTGTGGACTCAATGGGATGATTACGCCAGAACAGGAACACGGCCGTTCAAACGAGAGTGGTATGACAATGAACAAAATACCTATCCCGCAGAACCCCAAAATTTTCCCTATTAATTGTAACCTGGAATGAAGGTAGGCCCAGTTGATCTCAAACCGTTTATAGCGTGGGACGCTCGTTTTAGCTCGTCTATCTATCTTCACCATGTGACGGAATGGAAAGAAGAGTACTCGGTCTTGTATATGAGCATTTAATTCGGGTTTAGCAGACATTGTCACCTAGTTTATACGAAATATGCCTTCGATAATGCTGAGAAATGGTCTGATGATTAGCGACAGATACATCTGGAAATTCTAAGATTATGAGCTGCTTTAGATACCCCGCCTGTCCAGTAAAGATGCTATTTCATATTCTTAATAGAATCAGTGACAAATAAGTTTGGACAGCAAGAAAGACGGAAAAGTTCGTCTTTTTGACGGAATATACCAACCTAACGCTTTGGACCCACATGCTCTTCAACACGCTCAAGATGGAGCTCATGATCAGTCTGATAAGCCAAAATAGGAATAACTGTTTTGAGCCATCTGCTAGATTGATCTTAGACATTCAATCCTGTAATTGTGAGAAACCTCATTAGGCCACAGATTATAGGTAGGACAACTTAAATTTTCAAGGAAATTCTGTAGTAACCCTAGAAATGCACCTTTTTCTGGAATGTTTCCATCCCAACAGCCTTTCTCATTTGGAGTATATTTTGGACCTGATATATACGCTAAAATTATACGCAAACGAGGAGATGCTTGAGCATTTTCAGCCCAAGCTCTGCCAACGGCTGGTTTTTAAACATTTTGCAACCCATTCAAGGCTGCTTGTTGGTGTATCACTAGTGCCAAATTGTCGGATAATTCAAGTACAATCGAACACAAATCCAGCTGATTCAAAACTATGTTTCTTATTCGTCTTCCATTTGGGGCCGTATGGTTAAGTAATTCTTAAATATTCGTGTTGCTTATTTTCCACTAGAGGGCTTGCTAAGGACACAATCACCCATTACGCTTCGATTTACTTGGGTTGGGTATAAAGAATAGAAGTGATGACCTTTGAAGATCAGTCTCGATAAATGCGTCCCCAGAAAACCACACACATACACAGAACAAATAAGTGGTAGTCTCTACTACGGGAATTTTCTCTAATCTAAAAAACGCCGTATATGATTTGCGTGACCAACCTGGTTTCGCCACCTCGGTCACCATATGCGTGCAGAGCAAATCAGTAGGAAATAATCTTTTCCTACGTCGTAGTGGATACACGCCCATTTGGGCCAATCCAATTCATTCTTTTATCCACTAATTTAGCTTGTGTAGTAGTAGACAGCCATTCCCTCCATGTTGCTGGTTCAGCTTCTGCGAAAGTGTCGGCAATGAGTTTTGGGTTGGACCGCAGTTACTTATCCCCACCCTCTTGAAAATGGAATGTGGAAGCGATTCTATAGATTTGTACATTTTCTGACATGTTCCACCCGCCTCGATTCCACTAAGGACCAAGGTGAGTGAGTATTTTGACCACTGACACAAGCGACTGTTTTCCTAGGGTGTGGTGTAACTGCGCATGATGGAGCGAACACCTGGATAGATACGTGCACATACGCGCTGCTACCGGTTAGTGTTCCTGCTAGCTTAGCGACACAGGCGTAACTTTTCTGCAACAAACCAGACAACTTGTAGAAGCCGGATAAAATGTGGATTGAAAAAAAAAAACATTTCCAAGCCCGTTTACCCGCGTGTTTTGTGAGCACATGCCTACTTGTCGTGTGCGGGTTAGCAGGGAGGTGAGAAAACCTCATCTCATCCGAATGCCATTCAAACGTACTTGTACGAACTCAAGGCGCCACACGCATCCGATTCGAATAGTCTGGTGACAATCACAGCAGCTGGTACATTCATAGTTCTTCGTCTATTTGTTCGCTCACCTGCCAACAGCAACCAGCACGGTGCTATTGGGAGCGAACTACTATTTGGGCACACCCACATGTGGCGCCAAGCTTTCCGCTAGTACACAGATGAAATTAGCTATCCGCAAATTTCGTATGCACACCATACGTTTTGGTATGCATGAATTAGAAGAAATGAAGTGTACGCGTGGCGACAAGGAATGTTTCCGACAGGGGAATAAAGTACCAGACTACGAAGTAGCCATGTCTTCCGTGGTTGCCGCTGGCGTCTTCGAATGTTTTGGGCAACAACAATGTCTTTATATCTATGTTTTGAGCAACTTGTTCAGTGTGGACATGAATTAATTCCATGCACTTTATTTCAAAACCGTTCGATTTATTTGTATCAACTTGTCAGTATACAGAACTAATATTCAATACCAATATTCTGACGGGAAAACAAGTGCGGGAGCGACTTCATTCTGAAAGAGTTCCGAATTTCTCAAAGTAACACTTAGGGTAGCAGCACTGGTAAAATATTTGATTCATTCAGTGAATTTCATCTACAGCTTTAATAATTTTGAGTGACGCTAAAATTTGTGTTTTGAAATTCACCCACACCAGTCAAACAGCTATTTCTGAAAGCGCCATTGTCAAATGTGTTACTTCACCGATCAGAGATTTCTAAGGGAAGAAGTTACTCGCCAGAAGCATCTACAACAACCAACAGTCAGCGGTGGCTCTGCACGCGCACTCTCTATTAACAGGTAACTTCTTTGGACATGCCCAATTCCACATTTTCTAAGGCGACATTTCTCAAAGTTAGCTGTATTAGCTGTATTCTAAAGTCAAGGAAACACTGTGGATAGATTTATCACCCTCCTATCTGAAGTGGCAAGTACTGACAATTTTACAAACTGTTCACCCAATCGTCCAGTAAAATCACTAAACAGTTAAATCAACCACTTATTTTGTCCAATTTATCAGTTGCCTCAAGAGGTGGTAATGATCAGCTTGTCTGCTGAATAAAACGACCAGCTATAGGTCGCCTTACTTTACAAGGCCATAGTACTTATGAATGGTTGCAAATTTTGTATAGGCTGTCAAATTTGTTCTCTTGTCCTGACGCGACAATCCCATTGCGTTCAGACCATGGCGTAATATCGGATTCGACTTCCGGTCTTGTCTGATCTCATTGGCGATGCCTATCTCAGCGGTAACTTAACCTAAGTTTCTTCTGGTATACTAGTTGATTGCCTTACGATTTCTTCATCACTGTCGCGCGGCTTGAAATTAACGTTCACGTATAGTGAAGTCTGCTTGTTCATGGGTGATGAATAAAACACTGTGTTTGTCTAATGGGATTTTACTGAAATACCGTCCATAAAAGTGATGCATTCGACATTAGCCAGAATTAGCAGATTGCTCGTAAAACGTCTCGAGAATTTTAGCATCCTTGTCAGTGTCCTACTTTTGCCTCGGTGGGATTATTTTGTTTTGCCGGATAGTGTTGAATTCGCCCTTACAGAGGCTTATTAACAGTGCCTTAAAAGTGCCTCGGAGGTTCCTGCAGTTAAAATCTGGATATCTAATATTTGGGGCAAATGTCATCCGGTGTCGTATCGAAAGAAACCTGTCTCGTTTAAATTATCCAACGTTGTCTCTTGTAAGCGACTTAATTGGTGAATCTTTCATCTTGAAAGGAAGATGCAGTAGATGTCCTCATCGTCAGCGTGCGCTAGGTCAAGTTGTGGTAACGTGCTTGCCTCTGGTATCTCGTATGCATGGAGTTCACAGCCCAGCATGGCGAGTTGTAACAGGAGCAAACTTGATTTCAGCTTATCAGGATTCGGGCTGATCTGACCCTAACAATCGAGCGAGAACAGAAAGATTACCGGTTAAAGCATGAACACTCGTCTACAGAATCGACAGAATTCCCTGGGACAATTATATGGGCCACCCTGACAATTTTTTATCCCTCCGTGCTACTGAATTGATCGTTTTATTTTATTTACCATATACTGCCTTCATTTTACGGAGGTTAGAATAATCGTCTTTTTGATCTGATGCTTCCACACCAATGAGTGAAGCAGGGGAAATAGGTTTTGCTCTCATCAGAGCTCGTCAGCAGAGCATACCCTTTGCTTGTGGCGGAATTTGAACCCCGGACGCGGCGATAGTCTGTTACAACTATACTGCTTCATGCTCTACACGGCTGAATTACCATGTCTCAGCAGGGCATGTGCGTGGCTCGCCCAACACCCCGAACAACCAACTAATAACTGTCTTGGCTTTGTCGACTGGCTTGCTTGTCGGGACTTCTCCACTAAGTAGCACCGTAGGTCATTTGTAGATGACAGGTCAAGTAGTCAAGAACTACAGTGCCCTTGAGAGGGTATCGTTCAGTGCTTTTCTCAGACTGCTTGCTGGAATGGTTACCATGGAATCACTCTTATAGTGATCCGAATTAGGACTAAATCAGTAACCCGCTCTTACTAATGGAACGCAGCATTCGTTTCAGAATCGAGCGAAATGTTTTCCTCAATTTTTTATTCAAAGAACCGAGCTGAACAGTACGTGTGATGAAGTAGGCTGGTTGTGTGAGCTGGTATTTTGAACGATGAGAATTCGAACGCAAAAAGAACAAAACTTGGACCCTAATGGTTTGTGTCTAAGCCACATTCATCAACCGAGTTCATGTCAATCATATACCAAAGACACGTAGTAGAAGTCAAAATTTAACTTTGTTTTCGCAAACAAGCAGGCTTCTCCGTACGACTGTGTATGAGTAGATAAGATGAGAAAAACAAATCATGCTTTCACCAGGCATCAGGTCATGGACTCGCAGTTGCTTCGCCTAAAGCCGTTTGATTTATAAACTCACTCTTGCGAGTTTCCGAAACCGTTGCCATGGCTCTTTAATGCGGACCTATGAAAATCAATGGCTTAGGTTTTTGTTCTGGCAACTTGTTCTCGCGCTTCCTTACTCGTGGTAGGAAGAGTACTAATCCGGAAGCCACTGTGCGGCAGTAGCAGCACGTTTGCGCGGGGTGGCATCGCAATTTTTCTCCAAAAGCCACTGCGAATCACCGTGTGCCTTTTCCCTTTATGTGATTTGCGGCTATATCTAAGTCGACTTATTGTATTGTGCCTTTCAGTGTTAGTATACACGCTGCTAACGCATGTGTGTATGCCTATAAATGCTTTCTTGCATGCTTGCAATGTGTGCTATGCACTGCCTACTTCGACGTGGTGGGTAGCTACTTGCCGCTCCTCCCATTCTACCTGTGGCTGTATGCATGTATAAGATACAAAAGACTAGCAAATTACCCTACTGTCGCCTACAGAATTTGGTGGCCTCAATACAATAGCCACTTTGGGTAGACGCAGGTCAGCCACATGCTCCACGCGCCACAGTATAACAAAACCGTTTCTCCACCACCGATCAAGCTATTCTCTTCTAGTGATTAATGCGTTCTCGGACCGGTATGTCTCACATGCTTTCGAGTATCACAGTGTGAATGCCGAAATAGTTGCAGTTGTGCAGGTGACCCAGACATAAAATGGTTATGAAGAAAGCTTTTTCACGTGGCTCACCTTTATTCAGGGAATTTGCTGGCACAATTGAAACGAACCTAGGTACACTTTTGTCATGAAGGAACGGGCTGACTGCACTAAAACCTGGGTGATTTGCCCTGCTTTCTAAACATTGGAACGATGAAGAATCTAACGAAAAATCATTTCAGGGTCCTGGAAACCCACCTGCGACCAACTGCCGTCTAGAGGAAGTCTGAAGAGCAGCGTGTGTCAACAGCGCACAACTAAATCTGTTGAACAAGGAAGTTATAGGCTGAGTTTTCACTGAAATTTTGGAGCAGTTTGTTTCAAAAATATCTGATGTGATATATCGAAGGTCTATCATCTAAGACGTGAGGGTCTCTTTACGTTGTACATTTATTTCATGACTATCCTAAGCGACAGATTCAACTGGGCTTCAGGTGAGTCTTCCATGAATGCCAAGTTGGTGTACAGATGAGTGTATACGGCAAACTTCGTCCAGGTTTACTCTACCAGGGTATAAGGTTTGGGGGAACTTGGGGAATGCCCCTAGCTGATAAAATTCATGAAGGGCAAAGCCGGCCGTGGATTGAAGAGAAGTTTTCAGAAACCTTATGGGCTGCGTTTATTCAGGAGACTACTTATCTATTTTTAGCACAAAAATCGGCAGAAGCAGCAACAGCTCTCAGTAAGAGATACAATCTACTTTACAGAAAAATTTAACAGGCACTTAAACTGGCTGGAACCTTAAAGCGTTAGGTCCCTGAAGAAATATATTGTGGAAAGTTTTTTTAAGCCACTGTTTACATGGGCTTATCTACGTTGTATATATTGAACGATGCAAGCCCTTTGACGAAAAACTGTAAAAAGTTTCGCTTAGACATAAGGTGGAATGAACAAAGCAGCAAGCAATTGAAACCCAATAAAAGCATCAGCAACGATCAATCCTCAAAACCGTAACAGCGGTCTCGTCTTACTCTGGTAAGACGATTACTCTAACAAGACAGGTTACTATAGGCTTGTGGCAAGAGGCATATGGACTCTAATCCCAAGCTTCGCCAGCTATCTATATAAACGGAGAAACGTGGATGTTGGTTGAACAGAGCCAACGTTCAGATTTTTGAAACACCCGTCCTTCGACAGTCCGATCGACGGTCGCTGATGAGATTATTTAAAAACAGAATGTATATTGCCAATGGTGACAAATTCCACCTGTCCAACTAACCCACAGAAAGTTCTGTTCAATTTTACCAGTTTCATTTAGGAATCTGAGGATAATTCGTAATGCAACAGTTACCTTAACTGGTCAAGCCTTCACTCCAACTTTGCTTTCTCCCGAAGCGTCCTTCCAGGACTTGGAACCATGGGGAATTTCACCAATGAATCAGAATGGTAGCCTAATACAAACAGGTCGATGAATTAGTCTACAACATTCCAGCTCTGTTTTTAAATCAT